TATATATATTTTATTATACTTTATAACACATTATATTTTATAATATATTATATTTATGTTACATATAATGTCAGTTATCCGTGTGTAACATATATAGTGAATCAGTGGCAGAAGCTGCTGGCAAGGCGGGCAGGGCCATCCTGGGTGGGAGTTTGGATTTGTACTACAGCCTGTGACAGACCACTGAAGAATTTTACACAGAGGAGCAACATGACATTTATTTCACAATTACAGTTCTGTTAATGCTGTTGGGTATGAAGGCAATGAAACTGGATTTAAAGAAACCAAGTAAGTGACCACACTGACAGAGCATTCATTCAGCAGGAGTTACTCACTGCAGTGTGTGCTGCAGTAGTTTCTTGACTGGGGGACAGAAAAATGCCTCCCCCGTCCCCGGCCAAAGTTGCCCGTGCGCGAATACCTGGCCCTTGTGAATATGTCACGTTATAGACAAAGGGGACTTGGCCAATGTGATTAAGCCAAGAATCTCAAGACAGGAAGATTATTCCAGGTCATCCAGGTTGGCTCGATGTAATCACAAGGGTCCTTGTAAGACGGAGGTGGGGAGTCAGAGTCAGAGACACTGGAGATGCTGTGCTCTGAAGATGGAGGAAGGGGCCGCAGCCCAAGGAACACAGGCAGCCCCTCGAAGCTAGAACAGGCGAGGAACTGACTCCCCCTGGAGCCTCGGGAAGGCCTGCAGTGCAGGGACACCTTGACTTTAGCCCAGGGAGACCCATTTTGGTGCCACTGTTGTGGTTAATTTTACATCTGCTAATCTGTTAATTTTACTAACGTCCTTAAAAAGAACCAGAACAAACAGCAGCTAATGTCTTGATGGCAAGATGTGTAGCAATGCAAGAGCCCTTAGCCTGCACCGTCCTGCCGTTCAGTTCTGGCACTAACCACCCAGAGTTAGCACAGCCCCCCAGGTCAGACGGAACGGCACCCAGCAAGACTGCCTTCACAGCAGGTGCCAGCTGCACTTTCAGGGGTCCTAGGTCACCTCTGAACAACGTGATAAATTCAGGGGTTCCTATGATTTCCTCAGGTTCAGCCTTTGCTAGAAAAACTCACAGAACTTAGGGAAGCTCTGTATTTACAGCAACAGTTTGATTATAAAAGGATACAAGTCAGGAGGACCAGCCAAATGAAGAGCCATGCCAGGCGAGGCGTGAGGGGGGCACACGGCATCCCTGCCCTCGGCCTGTGGGTCGGGACCTCCCCCTCCCTAAACTCTGTGAGCTCAGAGTCCAGGGTATTTACTGGAGTTTCCTTACATCAGCAAGATTGCTCAAGTTACTGGCCTTGGGACTGAACTCAATCTGCAGCCCCATCCTGCCCTCGAAAGGTCAGGAAGCCGAAAGTCCCAGCCCTCTAATCGAGTGGTAAGTCTCCCTGGTGACCAGCCCTCAACCGGGCGCCATCCAGGAGCCCAAAGAGTCACCTCATCAGCATAAGAAAGGCACCCTGTCACTGAGAAACCCAGGACAGAGACCAGACAATCTGTCACATCCCGGTTCTTGTCACGGGAAGTGCTGCCTTCGCACTACCTTCACCCACCAGCCCGCAGTTGGCTTTGAATGGCTCTTAGTGGACGTGTCCTTGAGACCTGTTGGAGGTCACGCTCCATCTGCAGGTGGGCAGGCTTGAAACAGACCTTAACAAACCCATTCTTTCCGAAGACGACAACCATACCTCTGACAGTTGGTCTGTTTCCTGTTACTACCCTCTTATATTTTGCTAGAAATTTGTAAGCAACTAGAAAGCAGAGTTTGCTTTTTAAAAATATGTTTAAGAGATAGTGACACCGAAGGCACCTTTGGACAGAGTTTCAGTTCTGTGAGATGAGAGGAGTCCTGGGGGTGGACAGTGGTGATGGTGGCACACGTGCACTTCACGCCACCACGCTGGACACTGAAAAATGCTTAGGATGGTATATTTTATGCTATATGTATTTCACCACAATTAAAAAAAAAACCTCCCTTCTGGACTAATTTAACCTGAGCTGAAGGAGAGACTCTTTTCCAGCTAGTTAAATCCATAATGTCTCTTCCCCACTCCGTCATTTGGGACCTTGGACAGCTGCCAGTGATGGGGAGTGAGCAGGTGAGCCCCCAACCCTAGGCCATCTCTCTCTGGCACAGGAGCCCTCAGCCTGGATGAACTCCTACACCTTCACCACCTTCTGAAGATGCTCTGCTGTCTTGGGGGGAGCCCAGCTTCCAGGGCTGGCCATTCCGGCTCAGCCAGAGGCTCCACTCAAATACTTGGTGGGCACCTGTCCAGAAACAAAACACGATGGATAGCTGATGTGCTGGAGCAGTGAGATTCTGGTTGATTGATTTTTTTTTCCTATAAATTGGAATTTGGGGTGAAAACTGTAAAACCTGAACTCTCTCCCAAGGGCCTCTCTGCAGAATTTGAAGGTGCCATTGCTTCTCCTCCCTTTCTCATGGCTCTAAGTTTTGTGTCTCCTCGTCTTCTGCCAGTTTATCAAGCCAGGCAAGGGCAGTGCCTCACTGGGAAGTGTTCATGGTGTGGCTCAGTGGTCAGGCCATCCCAGCTCTGCAACCTTGGGCAAATCCATAGCTTCTCTGTGGTTTAGTTCCTTTAATTGTACAGGAGGGCGCCGATAGTAATCATTTACGTGGGTTGTTAAAATCAAATACAATTATTGTATACAGTGCTGAGAATACTGCTCAGGGCAGAGGGCACACCGATAAAGGTTAACTGATGCTTTCATCACGGTCACATCACCAGTTCATGTCCCCGGATCCCACTCGTGCACAGCTTCCTCTGCTTCAGCGCCCCCTCCCTTCCTATGAACTCGAACAACGCAATGTCCCAAATGACCGGGGAGCCACCAGACTCTACCCACCTGAAAGATCAGCATAAAATACAGACAGGCGTTTTCAGACAGCACCTCATTAACCTGTTCATTCTAAGTCTACTGAAAGAACCGCCTAAAAGGGGTGTGTTAATTATATTCTAAGCGTGGAACTCACTCCGGGATGCCAGCAGATAATGAATGAATGAACGTGTCATCTCGGACAACAGCCCAGCTCCCGTGTCCTTGAGCCCCACTCCACTTTCCACTGTGACCACAAGGGTCAGGATTCCACACTGATGGCAAACAGCTGAGCGGCAGGAGCAACGTACTTCAATACCTCTTCACCAGTTCAGGTTTCACCCGCAAACTTTCACGCACACGGACTTTCGCGTAGCCTTTCACGCACACCGCTCGACTCCAGGCAGCCGGCGTAGCCCCACCGGGAGTCCCGGCCTCTCTGCCCTCGATTTACACCACCTCAGTCTTTCCACTGCTCTTTGGTGGCCCAGTTTTGCGCTGAGATTCCCCAACCACATGGCCTTTGAGTCATTCTTG